CTTATGCAGTGTTAAGAAAGCATCTGAATTTGGACACTGAGGCATTTCTCCTTACACTTGACTTGTGCTCTTGCACCCACTGACATGGAAGCAGCTTCTTTGCTGTTCAGCAAGTTGTCAAAGAGAAACAAAGAGACCTCCTCCCCAGACACAGTCAACAATTGAACAACGTTTTACTTTTTTTGCCAGCAAAGGCTTTTAAGGTGTTTACTGGCTCTGAAACATGCATTAAACCATCCGTGGCATATAAAATAAACGCTTAAGTTAGTGTCTCTCAGAAAACAGGTTATAAAATGTATTGGCAAATAGCTCTTAAACTGGCATCCCTAGTGTGTGGAGGTGGATGTCTGCTGCAGGGGAGGCTAGAAGTCACTTTGCTTACTTTGTCTTTGTTTCCATGCCATGCTTCTCTGCTCCTTGTGCCGAGCAGTGGTTTACTATGGAGATTGCTAACATGCAAAACAAGAATAAAAGCTAGCAGGAAATTATTAAGTGGTTTTACAGAAATGTTAAGCTTAGCTCTTATAATAACTCTTCCCCTTAGAATCCTACGCAGCTGTGTTCTTCTCTATTTTTCAGATATGTGTTAACCTCTGTGCTGTGCTCCAGAGGAAGTGGGAAGGGTAATGTCTCTGCTCAGGATGATGAAGTAAACTTAGCAGGAGCATTCTGTGATTGCTCAGCCTTGTAGTCTGGTTGTCCTATGGTGATGGCTGGTATGGTGAGCAGGAAGGCTCCAGGAACGTCTCTTTAATGATCTTAAAAAATATAGTCTGGGTTTGTCGTTGTCCTGATGACTGTTTCATTAATATGTAATCGATTTTCAGCCCTTGGAAAATTTGCTTAATACAAACTGACAGTTCAGCTTTGCAGAGTAATCAACGTGCATCATCCCTGGCTCTGAGTTTTTTGGTATTTTAGGCTGGATGTGCAAATCCAGATCTGCCCAGCCCACCTTGTGCTTTAAGCATGGGGAGAAATTTCACATTACTGAAGGAGTTATTGTATAGTAGTGTGTCTGGCTTCTCACCTTGCACTGACCAGTTGCAAAAACTAGTCTGGAAGGGGTGGTTTAATCTGAGATTATAGGAGAAGGATGTACCACCCAGCAAAGGCTGTAGTGAGGAACCTCATCTTGGATGTCAGGACAGCACATATGGTAGAGGTCTTGCATCTTCTACTTAATTAGTCAGGACAAGCCTTGGATCTGAATGCGAGGGATGGACACATTTTTTTCCTGAAGGATTTCTGCAGTCACAAATTCAGGATTTAACAGAGTTCTTAAATGAATGCTGGCACTTGAGAGTAAATCTCTGCTTCCTAGGGCACCAAGATGATTTATTTGCCATCAGCATTCCCACTGACAAGTCAGAGGTTTTCTGCAGTGGAGGATGAAATAGTTGAAAAGTAGAGCTGTAGAAAACAGCTGTTGAAAAAGAACCAGCCATGATTGTTCCAGGACTTGGAAAAAGCTTCAGAGGTTTTGCTATTCAGTCAAGAAGGCAAGTACTGATAATCCTGTCTACTTTGTATAAATTCACTTCACGAGTATCAGCTCAACAATTAGAGTCTGTCACATCGCCAACAAAAAGAGTGTAATAATGACTGTGAATAGAGTAAGCAAGAATTACAAGACTTGAGTGGATGGTTGATTATGATTCTGTATTTTCCTCATTTCAGGCCAAACTGGAAACACATTACTAGGGTGTTGTGGACAAAATTTCAACTAGACATTTCATCTCTTTGACGCTTGCCTCCCATTATGTATTTCTGGGATGCAGCAATAAGACAGCTCTTCCTAAATGGCAGCCTGGTGGTGCCTTTTTCATTTAAAGCAATGTCCTTTAGAAAGAAGCCAGCAGTTTCTTCTTATTTTAATTTTCCTGGTTTATAACTTTAAAAAAAAATGTTTACAGGAATTTTATTTGGCGACAGCCCACACATCCTACCTAAAATACAATTAGAAATGCTTGTTGGATAGGTCAGCAACAGGAAAATTTTGCTGAAGGACAGGATTTTGCAGCTATTTGCATCTCCTTATGGCTTGTCTGCATTAGAGGGAGCTGTGGCAAGGGAAGGGAAAATTAAATGGCATTTAAACCATCGTGTTTTAGCTGTTTCCTGTCTTCATATGTATCATCCTGTTAGATTACTGTATCTTTGTAGCAGTCAATTCTCAAATTGTCTTGTGGCAAAGTTGATGTCTGGGCCAGGGTTCTAGGTGCTGCTATCGTAAAAATGTCCTGGAAGAAAGGTCCAGAGGAGAACAGTCACTTGAGTTTTCTAGATCCTTAAGTACTTTGACTGTTGCAGACTTCTAATTACAGACTTCTTTTCACTGTGGGAACTACAATAATATTTATATGTTTATTTAATATAAGATAGTCATCAGAGTAAAGCATGTTTAGTATGCATAAATTCTCACTCTGGCATTTTTCGCTGTAGCAGTGGAGCACCTCCCGGAGTGGTCAGAGTTATGATGGTGACCTGGAGGCAAGAAACTCCTAATAACTCTTCAATGCCTCCTACCCGTTCCTTGGTTCCCTAGCAACTATATCTCTTTTTTCCTAACATAAATTCCTCATAATTTTTCACACTCCTCTCCTTGTTAATTATTATTGTTAAAGGCAGGGATAGTAGCACCATCTATCAGGAAGATTTAGGAAGACTGTTGATTCTTCCGTAGCAAGACCATCTTCATTTTATATAGAATTTGCTAAAATTTAACTGTTGGGATTTAAATGTTCTTTGCTAGGTGTCTGACTTAGTCCATACACTAAAAAAAAAAAAAAAAAAAAAAAAGTCTATAGATGCTGAACAACATAAACCAAAATACTAGTAGCAACTTCTTGTCTGAACTCTGTCCATGCTCATAAGACTAGGAGAGCTTAAGTGAGGCAGGGAACCTACAAAAAGCAAAGTGTGTAATTATGGCATTAAGCTGTGTATCGTAATGCCTGTGCTCAATGGTATGAATTGAAGGTTGCCCCAGCAACCTTAATTCTCGCATTTTCTAACTTCTGAATGCTTCTCTTTGAGATTGCTAATAATAGTCTGTTAACTTTTTTTTTTCTGTAGCTAATTATGCAACAGCGAAAAGGTGCTTGAATTCTAGAGATGTGTACAAAGGCCAGTCATTGTCATGAGCAAATTGCTAGTGAATATATGATCATTATGTTGATTTACAGTTATAATTTATTTTTTATTTGTATTGTGGATGCATTTGTGACCTCTTCCCTGTTGTACAAACCCTATGTGATGTGGAACAAAGACACAGCTGTCAGAGCAAGAGGATTAACATCTTAAATAATATTCTATGGATAACACATTGATACGGTAGAAAGAAGAATGAGGAAGCAATGACCATCATTCTGAGCTGTGGTGGCAGGGCACTAGCTACCTGGGTGCTATTGAAGACTCTTTACACCTAGTGTGGCAGAGAGGAGTTTTAAGGAAAGGCTTGAAGAAGGACAGTGTCCTGGCTTTGGAAAGATTTACAGGGAGCAGGAACTTGCAAAAGAAATGGCAAAAGGACAAAGCACAGATACACCAAGAAAAAGGAATGTCAGGACTGTCTTTTTCAGCAAGTGGCACAGCAGTAGACTCTGTGCTATTATCTGAATTAGGAGGTGATGTAAAAGTTTTTGTATTCTTGACAGACCTGTGCTTGCTCCCCACTTTGCTTCTTGTAATAGTTTTAAACAGATAACAGACCTACTGGTTTTGAAGAGTGTTGCCTAGTGCCAATATTGCCTAAATACTGGGATCTCATCTCACCTCATCATGTTTTTGTCACCTTCCAGCTGGATTCCAACAGTTTTAGGTACTTTAGAATGAAACTTCTATCACCTCAGGCACTTAGCATAGGCTGCTGTATGCATCCCTGCAGGAATTATTCTTGCATCGTGAAGGCTGCCTTCTGCTTTTTTATACTGACTTCTGCAGAGTATCGAGTCAAGTGGAGTTGCAGTCTTTGCCTTCACTGGCCAAAGCCCAGGATATGCAACAAATAAGAAATTCGACATTTGTTGTTGTTGTTGAAGTAGGTCTCTGTGCTGTGAGGGATGGTTTGTCTGGGCAGGAGAAAAAGGTTTTGCTGAAGGACCCTGGAATGAGCTAAGGACCGACACTTTCCTAGATCCTGCTGCCACCTGCCAGACAAACCTGCACTCACCTGCTCCAGGCATGGCTGTCCTTTTTGGAGCACATATGGAAGAAAGCCCAGGGCCCACACCAGTCTGTGCATGCTGTCTCCCATCTTCCCTCTTCAGATTTAGCACACTTTAGGAGTAGGCTACCTGTGTCTGTACTATGCAACACTTGTCCAAGAACCTGTGTGATAGCCAAGTAGACCTAAAATATAATTGTTTGGGTTGGAGGAGGTGGTTGGAGATTTTTTAGTTCAAAATGCCAGAGATAATAAGTGCAATGTTAAAACTGTCCTGCCAGCCATGTTTGCTCTTTGATGTGGGGAACTACTTCACTTACTTCCCAGAGAGCCCCAAAACAGCAGCTGCCACAGTCAGGGAGCAGGGTCTGGCAGTAAAGAGGAGATGAGCCAAATGAAGAAGGGTGGTAAATCCTGCCAACAGATGCAGTGGGACTCCTCCCTTGAACACCCTCCCAGTCATACACAACTGGATGTGGTACTCTCAGCTACCCTTTGATAAAGGGTAAAAATACGCGTGTGTGACAAAGTAAAGATTTTTAGAGCCTGGTTATGTTTTTTAAATAGTCTGTAAACTTTGTTGGACTCAGAATCTTGTTTACGGGCAAAGAGAAGGCACACCTTATATATATAAAACCAAGATTTTAATGTAAATGTGACGGATAGTGTAGTCTAAACATTATCATCAGTCCAGATCTAATTATTATGGAAAATAAGTACTTCTATTAAAAAAAAAGGCAAAAAAGAGGGGGCAGTTCAAATTGTTGTATGCAAGCTTCCTAATTTCTACCCCTTTTCTGGTATTGTGCTCTCCCTTCTTCTGGTCCTCTAGTTCCCAGGGCTGGTGGTTTCATTTTGCTGTCGTTGGTGGTGTTGGTGTGGATGTTACAGTAAGTTGTAGCATCTGGGGTCATTTGGGAAGGATAAGACGTCCATGATGATAGTTTTTTCATTCTAGGACCCACTTGGAATTTCTTTTATATGTTAGCTAACACACTTTCACACCTTTCTCTTTCTTCATTGGCCTGGTGTTCCACATTACACCTGATGTTACTGTATATGATGCTTTTTAAGTGTGCTAGATACTATTATTGTGTTCTCTTTTTAAGCCCTAAACCCAACTTTGCCCAGTTCCCCTGTTTGCAGATCTGCATTTCTCTAACTGGTGAGTGGTGAGATGCTTACAGCTGTGCAGTCTCTGATGTTAAGCCTAGCATTTTTTCATCCTGATAAACTGCTATCTTGTATTAGAATCATAGAGTCGTTTGGGTTGGGAAAGACCCTTAGGATCATTGAGTCCAACCCTTAACCTAACACTACCAAGTCCACCACTAAACCATGTCCCTAAGCACCATATGTACATGTTTTTTAAATACCTCCAGGGATGGGAACTCAACCGCTATTATGAAAGTGTCTGCATTTCATTCAAATGATTTATAGACAAAATACTGGTATATTTGGCTTTTGAAACATACCATTGCAGCAAAGATTAGTAAGCACATTAAAATTTTATTCTGCTTTGGTTAAATTAGGAAACAAGGTGCTTTGAGGGTTTACATTGGATATGTTCTCGCTTCAGGGCCAGAGTGGACCTTCAGGAGGAAAGGCAGTACCACCAAGGCCTGCTAAAGCTGTACCTGAAAAACAAGTAAGATCCGCAAATCTATGAGCCTTAAAAAATGTTTTACCCTTCTTTATCTGTGAGATGCAAGCTAGATTCAGTCTGAACAATGGCACATTTTATGGAACTAGTAATATTCCAATTAATTCAATATTAAGAGGTTGCTCTATTCCACTGAGAAGGGAATTACACTAGCAAGTCAGAATAAAAATGGCAGCTAAAACAAAGGCAAAATTTAAGTAAACTGCCAAATGAAAATATTAAAATAAAATGTTTGGGATGTAAATTCGAAAACATAGGCTGACACAGACTGTGAGAAAATTGCCTGCTCAGTTTAGCAAATTCAAGAAAGCCCATATCCACTTAATTAATATAGAAATACAAGCATTACAGAAAATAGTGTTAACTTTTTTACTGTTGGCCTCACAATTATGTTTTTACTGTTGGGCAAATAAATATTTACAACAACCTTATTTAATTTACCTTCCTCTTATTTACCTCCTTTGACATGGATGGAAGAAGGTCAATTTACCTGCCTTTTAACAGGAATGGTGATAAACAGCTTTTCACTCTCTTAGGACAAATCACAGTCTTGTTAAATGTTCCTCTTCTGACTCTTTAAAAATGGAAAGTTATTTGCTTTTAAATGAAAAACAAATGTTAAACCCCCAACAGTTTTTATCTGCTTCACTAGGGAAAACAGCACTGAGCTAACTGGCATCAAATTGTGTATGATAGATGTCCTCAAGCAGGTGTTCATGTGAGAAGCGTTAAATCACAAGCAACTGTTCTACCATCATAGTCTCATGTATATTAGAGCACCTGACCTTCCTTACAGCTTGCCTTATTTCAATCCCTTTGGGGAAAAAAAAAGGGTTCCAGCCTGTGACTTTCCCTGGGTGCCTGGCATATCCAGAATTCCCTGTTACTTTCAGCCACTGCACATTTTTACACAGCATTGTGCATTCTACCTTTGTGGCATTCTGCAGATAGCAAAGCTTTGCTGGGTCCAGTCTCTGTACCTGCAAACAGCTTGCAGTTGTACCCTGGACTCACTGGCAGCTCCATATGGCCATAAAGTTTAGCAGACCCGAGAGAACTGTATTTAAAAGAATGATTGATTTATTTTAAATCAGCCTGTTACACATTTCAAACCGAGGAAGAAATTTTGCCTGGAGCAGTTAAACACTTTAATGAGCAACTTTTGTGTTCTGGTAGTTTATCTGCAATGACAATAAATTGAAATTCAGCCCTGCAGTGATTAATTTCCCATTAATGTTATCATATTGTCCCACCAACTCAAGACCAGCCCAAGAAGAGCAGCTCTCTCTGTTAGGAGAATGCAGATCCCCCTGGCTTTTGCAAGAAAATGGTTAACATTCCTTCAGGAGCCGCATCCCTGGAGCTTTGTTTCTTGAACTAATTTCCGAGTGTAGCTTATAGAATAGCACTTTAGAAGTAATTGTAGATCCTTAACTTGTGCCCTTGAGTAATCCTAAAGTACAGATCATTTGGGTATTATATGGTCAAAAGAAACAGAATTACCAACTTCTAAACTGAAATTGTAGTAGAGTTACTTGAATTTTATTATTAGAATTGCTCCAGTTTTGTTACAGGCCAGGAATTATCTTCAGACAGCAGCTCATCCAGCCCGCTGAACTCCTGCTGGCAGGTGTAGTCATTCAACAATCTTCAGATTTTGGCTTGCCATTTGAGGTTATCTGCTCCGCTCAAAGCACAGTTGGATGGGGAAATGCTGTTTTGTCCTCCTTGCTCAATGTCTGGAGAAATGCCGCTTTGGGAGGGAGCAAAACGGTCACAGTGTTGGTGCACTAATGGACTTGTCATTCCTGTGCTAGGATGAAGATGTCTCAACTGAAGTAGGAGAGGGTGTAGATGAATGCACGGCAGCAAAGACTTTAGTCAAACCGCCAGATCAACTCGAGCTTACTGAAGCTGTGAGTAAAACAGTGCCTGTAGTTGTAATGAGGTGTGTAGAAAACGCTATAAGCTGAAGCCTACCTCTTACCCATTTGTTTTGGAGGAAATTCTGCGAGAGTAAAGCTCCAGTACTTGCTAAATTACATTATCTACAGTGTAAAGTGAAATGACTTTCATCAGGAAAACAGGGAGAATGTGCTTTGAAGCACAGTTCTGGGCTTAAGACAATGTTACTGAATGGAGGTGATCCAAGAGGGGAATGGATCTAGGGCTTCCCTTAGATAAGGAGGACCCCAGAGCCAAGCCTGAGCTTTTCAGGTGCATGTGTGTGATACACAGGACAGAAGGTGTCCTACAATTTTATGGTCATTTCTTCTCAGCTTGGTTCAGTAGGATTGCAGTCGGTCACCCTTGCAACTGCAGTTGTCTCTCTTTTCTTACTGCCATGTAAAACTCTAGCATTGCTCCCTGTCCTCTGAGTAGCTCTCAAAGGGAAGCTATACGTACTTCCTCCTACTCAGGCTAACAGTTTACACTAGGACTATTTTTTGTTCACAGTTGTCAATCCTGTAAGCGCTGCCACTGATCTTATTTTTTATCTATTTTTTAACATCGTATGCTTCAAGACACGGGTTGTCTTTCTTGCCCTGTAGAATGCAGCAAGCATTTTGCAAGTGCTACAATAACTTAGATAAGAATTAACATGACAGCTAAAGAATTCAGGAAAGCCCATTGAAATCCTAAGGTAGGAAGTGGGATGTCTGTTCTGGATTCCACTCTGAGCTAGTTTGGCTCCAAGCATTGTTCTTGAGGAGGCATCAGCTGCACATGAGGTATCTGCAGCAAACTGAACATCATAGAACTGAGTGTAAACCTGGTGATTTTTGTATGCTGTATGTTGTATTAATAGTGGAGTTTTATTTACAATATTATTTTGTTTCCATTCTAAAGGAATTAAAAGAGGAATTTACACGCATGCTGACGGCTAATAATCCCCATGCTCCTCGGAATATTGTCAGATACAGCTTTAAGGTAAGTGTGGTATGACGTGTAAAATCAGGATGAGATTTTCTGCAATTAACTGGTTTTGTGTTTTCCTTTGATTTAAAACCAGGTAAATTTCCCTTTAGTGTGGCTTCATCTTGTTACATATTTACTGCCAACAGTTCCTACAGGGTTTTTGCAGAGTGCAGAAGTCTAAAAGTATTTATTCAGAGGATCTGGGAGTGAACATAATTAGTGCAGCTTATCTCAGGCAGTAACTTTTTCCATTCTATAGTGGTTAGAGGACAAAAGACAATTCTTTAAGCAGTCTGTAAGACAGTTATGCTTCAGTATCCTCTCATAAAGATTCAGTTATTTGAATTACAGGAGAGCTCAGAAGTGTGCTTTGTGAAATCACTAACAAGAGCTCTATTCCTGATGAGTAGGAGTGAGCCAGGGAGGGTGCATCAAAGACTGCCGGAAAACATCCAAGGGTCACACCTTCACATTTCTGCATGCAGACCATATGCTGCATTACCCTGGAGGAGCCTCGTCCTGCTAGCATGTACAGCTGGCAACACAGGCTGCTGCAGGGGGAGAGTGGAATGATGGCTTTGCCTCCCACTCCTCCCTTGGAAGGGTTATGCCTCCTGAAAGAAAGGACACATAGACAGCTCCTCCAGCTCTGGCATTGGATTATCCCCAGCCTTAGGCAGGCAATGGACAACCAGGTGAAATATTCCCCAGCCTGACTTATCTCTGTGCTACTGTAGCTGGTTTGACCAACCATTACATGAGATCACCAGAGAAATGAAATCAGTCTTGTGGAAGCAAATGAGGTCACTTTCTGGAGTTGATGTTTTCCATATTTATGTGATAGAAACAGATGACGAATGATCCACATCTTCAAATCCTCCACAGTGACTGGAGTGGGCTCAATGCTATTCTCTGATGGGTACAGAAAGCAGTCGTATTTTTACGAAGAAACATTGAAGCCTCTGTGGTCTGCAGAGCCTTCTGGCTGCTTTTAGGTGCAGATCAAAATCTTAGTACAGGTTGAGCCTAGGTGTGTGCCTGCACTGTGCAGTCATCCACAAGCAAGTGCCAATCAGGATAGCTTCAAACAGCTGAACTAGTTAGTACAGTGCTTATAACCTGGGCATGGTGTTAAGAGCCTGTACTGTCTCCAGATCAGAGCTGCTCTTTATGTATGGTGCTGCTCTTGTGTAGGTACAACAAGTCATTCAGGGATCTCAGCACAACAGGACATGAGAGTCTCTTAGGGAGTGCTGTGTAATAGAGGTCCACTAGAACTATATTTAAACTCACTTGCTGTGGCAGTGGTGAAGTACTAGAGATTTCATGCTCTTGCTTCTTTTCATTGTAATTTTAATTTATTTCAGTGTACTGAGATATAAATACCTGCTGGAAGAAATTCAGTGTAATTGTGCCAATAACAAACATATATTTACCAGTATGGATCTTCTTAGATTTAGCAATTTAGGCTATGCAGTATTTCTGGTTTAAAGTATTTTTTTCCATGCTCATTTTGTTGGTTTTGTCCTCTTTGTAGGAAGGAGTATACAAGCCAGTAAGCTATGTGGATCAAATGGCCATTCACTTCTCTTTGAATGGAAACATGATACTCAAAGATTCAGATGAAGGCAGACGGCAGAGTATCAGATTAAGCACTGAAGCAGGTGGGTTTATTATCTGAAACCACAGTCATTTTCAGCTAGGCACTTACTCAGCTTGAGGGAATGATCATGCTTCATCACCATAGGATTGAACAGCTCCTATTTTGTCTTGCATTCTTCTTGGGAAACAAAAGCAGAAAAAACAATCAGTCAGATGTTTGCCACAGTGTAGAAAACAGTGCATGTTTTTTGAGCCATGTGAACACTGATACTGAAATTTTCAGAGCTGTTTAGTGTCTTTTAAACATCTTCCCTTCCCTTTAGTTGGACATACATGTCTAAACTCCTTAGCCTGTTTTGAAATTTTCAGCCATGACCTAAAGTATTAAAATATAAATGTTTGGAGGCTGGGTGATCATTCAGGAAACTATCATATACTTGACCAATTCTTACACTCTTACCAGGACGTTTACTTCTGGACAATGTGAGATACAAGGTACTGAGCTAATTGGACCTCTGATCTGGGTCACTATCACCATTCTTAAGTTTTAGTTAAAAACACCTTAATCAGAGGCTGAACAGTTCTGTTGTTAGTAAAGAGTTCTAGTTTTGAATTTTCAGTATGGAAAGATGCATTGCCTGGTGATTTTCTCATATTTCTGCTGTTTGTGAAAGGAGAAGTTGTGTCACAAAGAATGTTCTTTCAAGGTGGTAACTATCAGGTGTGATGATACCACTGGATAAGCTCCTGAGAACAATCATTACTTGCAACTTCTGAGGGTCAGTGCCTCTTTTATTTTACACTTAACAAAATGTGCATGATGATTTGAAGTAGGACACAGGATCTTCAATGCCATGAAAGCATGGATTGTTGTTATTGTCAGTGCTTTTAGTAGATTCCAAACCAGCTAGTTTCAAGCAGTTTGTTGCTAGCACAACTACACACTCAAGGCTGTGACTGAAATGTAGACATTCATCATTCTCTAACAAAACAAGCATATTAATTTTTATAAACAAGATCAAACAATGTTATAACTCTTATGTGCCTTGAAAGCATTCCTCATAGTGGTACCTAATTGCAGACATTTTTGGAGGTTGGCAAGGTCCAGACCTGAAGGGATACCCAGAAGCAAAGCCACTCAGATCAGAAGTGGATTTCAAAAGTTTAATTTGAGTCAAAACCAGATTTTTTACTTCAATCTGGACAGAATTACTGCAGCTTGATTCTAGTAATTACGTTGTCTCCTTTTGTGGCTTTCAGGAAACAATCACCTTCCAAACTGCGGGTTGATTATTGTGTTGTCTAGTGAGATAGCATTAGAAAAGTGTGCATGTGTATATTAATGCTTCAGAAGACAGATGGACCTGCAGAATATGGGATAATATGTCCTGTTGTTCTGGTTTACTCATTTCTCCTTTCTATTACCAGAAAAGGCTCCTGTTGAGACTTCTGCAGTAGCATCTGAAGAGGCAGAGGTTAAAGATGAAGAAAGCATAGAAGATACTCAGGTGATTCTCCATAGTCAGCTGAGAGCTGTCCATTTTATGTTTAATATTGGACTTGAAATTCCTTTATTATAAAATGGGATTGCTGAAAAGCTTCTGTGTTTGATTCTTTTGTGTCTGAGATGTCTCCCAGTCTGGCATATTCTAGTGAACAGTTGGGGTCCTCCTGCCATTTTTCTGTTTGGAGAAGCTGTTTAAGGGGGTGACAGGTCCATACATACCAAGTCTGTCATTATCCAGATATTGTATCAAGATAGAGTGTAATTTGCTGGGTTCTGGAGCCTTCCTGGACAGCATATCTATTCCTGAAAGAGAAATTGGTAAAAACCAGTGTGTAGGGGTGAAAGCAGCAGGCATAACTACCTGAAATAAGCAGTGAACTGATTTAAAGGCAGTTGGCTGATCAGAACAGGAGTGCGCTGTGAGAAGTTTGTTCTTATCCACACAGTGTCAGGCCCTGGAATCAAGTTCAGACTGGTTTCAGATAAAGCTGACTGTCTAGCAAGGAAATGAAAACATGGTAGTGGATCTCTAACACAGTCTTCTGGTCTCTGAGTCCATTTTATCAAAGATAGTCATGCTATGTTATCCCATTCATGTCAGGCTCTGTTTTAAAGTAACTTCAGTTCCTTTCCATATTCCCATGTAGTTACTGTTCCAGAATCAACTTGTTCTGATAGCTTTTATTCTCCTAACTGCCATCTTAAATATTGAATCTTTAATCACAGTCTCCACTAGGCATCAGAAATACAGCAGTCTGCGAATTGCTTCTGAAGAAGGAAAGAAATGTCTGGCTCTTTCAGGGTGGAGACACTGCTTTTTTTTCTTGCAGGCTGCAGGAGAGGAAGAGGCAGAGGAGTCAGGAGCAGCAGAAGTATCTGAGGCAGCAGAGGGAGAAGAGCCTCATCCCCCAAGAGTGAAGGACCAGAAGCTTGCAAACCAGTTCAACTTCATTGAGAGAGCTTCAAGGACGCTCAACAACCCTATGCGGGTATGCTGCCGTTTCCTTTAGTGACTTGGAAGATCTTTGCTTTGGGAGGGCATGTGGATAATCTAAGTTTGTGTCATAATCTGTGATCTCTGTAGATACTATTAGGAGAAAAAAAACAATGAAAATTATGAAAATAGTGACAGAAAAACTCTTGCCTCATGGACTGCTAGACCACCTACAAGAAGTTTTGGTGCTATTGTAAATCCTGAAACCTCTACTTGGATATAACATTTTTTAGTGTCTATTTTCTCATCTGAAAAAAGTACAGAGCAATGGTTAGGGTAGTAGCTGAGGGTCTGGAATCCATTAATTCAATTTCCTTTTGCCACAGAGACCCTTTATGACCTTATTCTTCAATTCTTACTTCAATTCTTACCCATGGAGCAGGGATATAAGTGCCCCTATATTAAAAGGATAAAGGTATAACAGACCTAGGTAAGTATGACAGATCTTTACTGATGCTATATGGCACATCCCCCTCTCACTCCGCGCATGCACTTTCCCATCACTACAGACCCGAGACCTTATGTTCTTGCCCTTAGCTTTTTGCTGAGCCTGCAGCCGTTCCCAGTGAGTGTGTCTTCACAGGGCATCCTGACCGAGCAGTACCGATGATGCTGGCCTCCAGTTGAGTGCTCAAAAAGCTTTCTGAGTTGGAGATTCAAGTTACAGAGAGAAAATGCTCTTGTTTTCCTTGCTGCCCCAGAATCAGAGTGTATACATCTTCACCAGATAGCCTGCCTGCTTTTTGCAGCCATACACCTGAAGTGAGACGCCTTTGCATCTGACGCGCTTGGAGAGATCTAAGAGTTACTGTGTTGCTGAAGCTAGTACCTCCTAGAAGGAATACCCACTAGTAGAGATGGAGGATCTCAGGAGAGTTTTTTCCAACAGTGGGGTACTTACTGCAAAGTCTGAGCTAAGATTCGGCATCTTTCAAAAATCCCTGTGGAGGCCATGGAACTTATTTCTCTATCCCCAGATCTGCATATTCTCTTCCCATTTATTTTACTGGGAGATGCTTGTGTGCCTCTGTGTGATTCTGCCTTTGAAAGCAGAATGTAAACCTCAAATAGCTGTGAAGTACTGCTGTGTGCTGTACAGCTTGCACCCCTGAGACTGCTTCATTTCAGAGGTCAGTGAAACGCTACAGGCAGATTCTTAAAAATATTCTGACACAACAGTTTTTTGAAAGCAAATGCTGTTTCATTAAATGAAAGTTTCACGGAAATATATTCATTTATTTCAGAATGTTGATGTAAAGATGAGAAAAGTATTACTTCAATAACATCAAATGAAGTTGTTATGAATTATAAGTTATCATTCTGTTCAACTCTTCTGTCTGCTTTTTGAGTTTTTAATATGTAGGCAAAACTTTTCAAATTCGGTTTTCATTTATGATATAATGATACCATCATCAGCAGCAGAATGTTTCAAATGGTACAGATGAAGCAAACCATTCAACTCCTTCAGAATTAAGTACTGAAATTAAATATTTTAAGTATGTTGGAAAAAAATCACAAGGTCTTGCGAACCTTCTTTTGGTACACAAGAAATTCTGTTTGTAGTTGCATGATCACCGATAATGTTTGTGCAGTGCTCTAAGAGTCATTTGGACGTTGAACTTATCTTAGATCAATATTATTCTAACTACCTGCTATGAGAAGGCTGTTTCCACAGCTGGACTATGTAACTGCAGAGAGTTTCAATGCAAAGATTATACTTCTTTATGTTTTTTCTTTATTCAGGAAAGAGCGTGTCAATCGGAGCCTACACCTCGCAAAAATTTCTCAGCCACTGCTAACCAGGTATATCCTTTTTGCTTTTTAAGTTTTTTTACAGTGTATTTAGGAAACTGAGATATGAGAAAGGGAAAACCAAATTGCTATGTTTGCATTGCTTGCAGTGGAATGAACTCCCATATTTGATCTCTGGTTTAAATTTGAGAGCAAACTAGTGTGTCTGTCTTTTCTGCCTTAATGGGTTAACTTGCTAATGGTTTATATTTCTAAGGTCAAGTGTCTTTGTCTAGCTGCTTTTAATTGATCTACTGCTTGCCAGCCACACTGGCCAGTCTGTTTTAGAGAGTCTTAAACGAGTGGAAATGGGGAAACCACAGTGAGAGCATGATTCCAGACGCAGCAAGGGATGGACTGCAGCTGAGCTCTACAGGAACAGGGACACAACTGCAACTGCCTCTTGCAGGCACTAACGCCTCCAGGGACCGGGCTATCTTTGGGGTAGGGACAGTCCTGTTGCTGAAGATGTTCCATCACTGTGTGGTGGGTGAGCTGGTTATTTAGGAGGAGCTGTGATCCAGCATTCAATACTTGTTCAGCTGCAGGACATCTCCATCAGCTGATCCCATCAGAGGCAGGTTCAATGGGGTCTCAAAATGCTGGAACACAATAATAAAAAAGCACTTAGGACATATCTGCATGCCAGGTCCACTTTGAGCACTGTGTTTAGAGAGTGAAGACCTCTGAAGATTCCTTTGTACAGCCAGGAATTTACAAGGTTTCATGGAGGTTTTGGGAGTGTTGTTAAGAATTTGATATAATGACATGGTGTTTTTTACTTTGTCTAAGTTTAGGTGTATGTGAAAGTAGGTTTTTAGAGCCTGAAGCTGAATACTGTGAGGACTACAGCATAAGGAATGTGGAAGGCCCACTTTAAGCCTGTTGCAATAGACTTAACTGTGGTTTATGTAGTGGGAATGTGCCTATTTATTGATGATGAAGAACTGTTCCAGAATTGTTATACAGTATTTTCTCCATCTCTTAAAAATGTAAAAAAAAAATTATTTTGTGTGACATTTTACACATGAAATATGCTATAGCTTTCATTGGAAAGAGAATCTAGTCTATTCTGCTAATTCTCACAGATATTTACAAAATGTGTTTGTCTTTGTCTCTGATGCAAATATTGTTTCAAACCAGTATACCAAGCTGGTATTTAAAATACTGTTTCACTACCTGTGTACCACAGGAACACCCAGAAGAGAGTATAGGGTAATGGCAGCAACTTAAAAAATGCTATTATACTAAAGTGATTGGAAGGGAAGCAAAGGTGTCTCTGTCAAGCTGGAAACTGTAACCCAGTCTATTCCCAAACTTGAAATCAGAGTATTTGGCCTGAGATCTTCCCTTCCTCCAGCTGGACCTCCCTTTCATTTTTTTTCTGACACTGAGGTGACTTGAGAGTTAGAGAGAACAGGACTATTTAAGATAATCAGGTTGTCACTAAAATTTTGCATGAAATGTTTGAAAACTAGGAGGAAAAGTTTTCCCTTGTTTTCTTTTTATTCTGTTGAAAATTTGAGTGGATATAAAATAATATTTTAGTGTAAGTTCTTTTTTTTCCTCAACTCTCTCTTTCTTGTTCTTCCTTATGCTCATAATTTCATCTTCCAGAGTTTTCTGTTCTGCTCCTTCTTCTACACTTCTCATCACATCTTCTTTGTCCTTTCCCTGATGTTTGGAACATCTTCCCACCTCGTTTCCTGATGCAAATTTACAACACAACACAGTTTTTTTGCTAAAGGTTTCTGTTACCTTTCTTTATTCCAATGTTCTGCTCTATATTTTGTATTCAAATTATACTCTCTCTCCTAAAATTATATGTCAGAATTAGATTGCCTTTTGTTTTGTTTTGAAAGTAATGTACCTGCTTCGGCTACAGTACTAGCACTCCAATACTAATGAATGATTCTTAAGTAGAAAAATTACTTTTGGTTCTCCTCAAGTAAGACATTCATGGCATGTGGCGTACCAGAAGATGTAAAACTGCTCTCAGTTTCCGTTTGATCATATGGTGCAGAGTTGGAGTCCAAGATTTAAATTGTGTTAAGCAGCTATAATTTAATTTTCCAACACCACATGAGAAATGTCATAAAGCAGATGTTTAATGCATGCTTCCTATTAAACACTGGTAAATTAGCCAAACAGAAAGTCCTACAAAAAAGATAGAGTCAAAGCACCAAGAAGAGTGTTGGCAAAGGAAATTAAGAATGCAATAATATGTTCTTAAAAATTAAGACACGCCTCATCAAGCTTTAAAAATCCTGGGCTTCAATCCTTCACTTTTTGTGCAACAAGCCAGCTGTCTTAATGTGATTCCAGTGTCAGTGTTAATATGAGGACAGTCGTATTTTTGTGATGGTGTAGATGGCTGTTTTCTGGAGTATAATCAGGTCCTGATAAATCCTGCCTCTGTCTGTCTCTCAGTGGGAGATCTATGATGCCTATGTGGAGGAGCTTCAGAAAATTGAAAGGTCAAAAGAGAAAGAAAAACCAAAAGCCCAGGTTGCAAAGAGAGAAGAGGAGAAGAAGAAGGGAAGAAAGTTAACGTCTCTGGAGTCACAGGTACGTTTCATAATGCTCAAAGAAGACTGCTCAGAGTAGTGGTGGATGCATCCATAGTGCAAGTCGTGAAACTTAGCAAGTCATGCTGTCTGTGTAGCTGGTTGTCTCAACTGGCAAATAACAACCCTAAGCAATGCAAAAATTAGCTGTTACTAGGAACTATCTTTCCAAAACAGGATTTCCATTTTTACTGTACTTTTTATGAGAATACAAAACAGTATGAAGCCATAATCTTGTCTTCAAACCTAATTTCCAAATTAGATTTATGGCTTTCTTTTTTGTGCATTATCATATTTGTGTCCCATTTTTTTATTACCAAGTGAGGGATAAAAGAATTAAATAAGTAGACTGTGTGACTTTTCAAACAATTCTAGGTGATGCAAAGGTTTTAAGTACAATCTTCCAATCTGGAAGGAAAAGACAATTAGGATTCTTTCAAAATGTTACTGGAGCACTGTAGTGAAACACATTTCACTGTTTTTTTATTATTCTAATGATAATGTTATAGAATTATAGTTTATATATTTTCTAGTTATATACATAGAAATGGCATGTAATATTTAATTTATATAAAAGTTAGTAATAGTTAATTGAAGTTGAAGCCTACATACTTAAAATTGAATAATGATTTTGGGAGGCTTGACCTAATTTGCGGTGGGATCTTTGCTGCATTGTTTATACCTTTAGTTGGCAAGTGGCAGAAGTGTCTCTCTCCAATGTTTAAAGTGCTATGCCACGGTCAGTAATTACACAGCAAGGTTATAGATGAGTCATGGTGATACATTCATCCCAAGAGGAGGTCAGCCACTGTGAGTCCTATGGAATAGCAGAGTGAATGGCAAGGGCTGCTGAACTGGAGTAGCCTCCGTTAGTCTGGCTTCTCAGAGTAGCAGGTATCATGACTCCTGCCAAATGCCGAGCTGGTGTTGTGATCTTGCTGCGAGGTTGATACTGACTACTAATCCAGGCTGCCCTGTCAGGAGTAGCCTATGAGTTCTTTGCAGGGATGACACAGTCATTCCCCTAAAGTGACAATATCCCCATCTTAAAAATATAATCCCACTTCAAGCACTGAGAATACAATACGGCAACCCTGAAAGAAATTCTTCATGTTCCAGAATATTTTCAGTGGCTTCAGGAAGTTTCTACTGGGGTTTATCTAGAGCTTGATGTATACAGAATTGTGAGTGGTTCTTTCCCTGTCAGTCCAAGTTAAACCATTTAGAAAGCAAACTGAAATAATTTCTATAATGACTGGAGCAAAAATGCAGTGTGAACTATAATACAGAAACATGGAAGTCAGTTCCTAGCTTGCCCCTAGAATAGGTGTAGATATGTCAACCTGACTAAGGTCTATGTAATAGAAGCTGGCTCCTGAAACTCTCTTTAGCACTTTCATACCATATGGCTGATTCAACTGTAGAGGATTTGGCTAGTGTAGCTACCCCAGCAGCACTGTGCCATCAAAAGTTTTATAATATGAACAGGACAGGAACATGTTCTGACAGGCTTCTTCCTGTGAATTGTGCCATTGAAATTCACAGTCCTTTTGAAAGCTAATAAACTTTTCACCTGAGTATGTTTTGGAGAATTAAGCTTGAACCCAACAGTACAATTATGGGCTTACAGGATGGACTGCTAAAAGCTGATAAGGAAAATGAAATTAAAATATTACCAGTGAAACCATATTGTAAAAAACCTGCTGGCTCCACAGACAGCAGAGGGAAGTTGAAATCCAGGCACCTATGATCCCTCCCTTTGGTGCTTTGCTTTTCACTCTGACTGCATTCCAGGGGGCTTGAAGGAAAATCAGAATGTCAATACACTGAAAAAGTGAAAGGGAAAGCTTCTTTATGCAGAGCCAGTATCTCAAATTGAGGCCTTCTGTGAGGCTGGTGGACCACCTTGAAGCGTATGAAAAACCTGCTAATAATTTTCTAGTTATTAACGGGAAAAATACAACTTGAATTAATCCAAGGCTAAAATCAGTCTTACAACAGGCATTACATCTGGTCCTGTGTAGGTCTGTAAATTAAAGGTTGATGGCATCAGAATCTGTACTCCTGGGCTTTCTTGAATTATGAACATGACAGTAGATTCTCAGTGCTGTTCTCAAGAAGTCCTCCCACAGACGCAGGAAAAAACCTGAAGAACAGGTTACCTAGGGACTTGCTGGCCTTGCAAGATGTCACTCCCCAAAAGGTTTCCAGTGCTTGCATACCTGAAGGTATATCTGCATGCCTTCACATACACAGGCTTGCCAATTTATGGTGTTCCCTGGCCGGGAGGACAGGATTTTCCAGAGTATCACAACAAGTTCCACAAGAGCTGGACAGTGAACTGTCCTTTGCATGTTGGTTATATGAACTTATGATTCTATGAATGCATCAAGCTGGAATTACGCAGTGATTGACTGAAGGATTTCTAAATCCTGCGATCTTTACTTAACACATGAGACCTTAAAACTCTCCAGGTAGAGATGAGAGGATGCTCATGCATGATCAAACATCTATGATTTCATTACTGAAGCTAATGAACTGTTACCAAGTGAGGTGAGATGAGGGAGGGATCATGTGTGTGCTTTCAGCTTATCCCATCATGAGGTAGCTTGAATGAGTTGAGGAAGATAAGACTCCAGCTGCCTTCACAAGTAAGTACCTTCAAACTGAGCTGAGTCGGGAACATGCACAAAAGTTACTGCAGCTCAGCTGTGGATGGTATCTTGCTAACCTTATAATAAAGTAATTGCCATAATTCAGGTGCCCTTATCATTAGGTGCTGGTGAGGAGGTTCAAATTATCCTGTACTCAAGTTCAAAGGATTCAAGTTTTTCAGTCACACAAATTCTGAAGGACTTGTAAACAGGTAGGAAATACATTTTCTTTTCCTGTTTTTCTTTTCAACAGAGTGATGATATAGCCAAGATCACAAAGGCTGCTAAAATAATGGAGCGTATGGTGAATCAGAACACATTTGAGGACATTGCAGAAGGTATGGCCCTGTGAGGAGATGCTTCTGACTCAAGCCATAACTTCTGCTGATGAGTGGTCACATCTGTAGTGAGAGGAGAGGGGAGGGGTGGGGAGAGGAGAGAGGAGAGGAGAGGAGAGGAGAGGAGAGGAGAGAGGGGAGGGCTAAAATGAGCAGGGCTAGGAACCTGCTGATTCATAGAAGGCAAACAGGACGGCAGACCACAGGCATTCAAAGGGCATGCCGCATCAACCCTGCTCTGAGCAGTTTGGGGCCAGCAGATTTGCCCTCCCTTCAAGCACTTCAAGCACTTCCCTCCCTCAGCAGGTACTTTCCTCCTGGATGCAGGTGCAGGTGACAGCAGCCAGTGCCAAGCAACTCTGTGCTGGTATTCAGGTGCCACACATGGTGACATACTCAGTCTCAATGTTATTTTGCAGGTTTTTCTATCTCTGCTGAGGTCCCTGCTGAAAGGCCTCATGTAGCTCCAGGAGTGGCCTGAGGTCACTCCTCACTCCAGGCACCTGCTTCTTCTTCGTCCCTTGTCTGGTTTTGGATGATCAGCTTTTTTTTGTGTGAGGACTTGGTGCTTAGTAAAATGCGTTTACAGGACTTGGGTGCTGGTTTGGAGTTGAGATTTAAGAACTGAGATAGTTTTTGTACTAACAATTGCGTTGCGCAGAGGCTGTGAGGATAACAGAGTGTTTTTTTTAAAGCTTCCCTGGCACGGCACTATGCTGATTTATTTCTTATTTATTCACCAGGACCTTTTCCTTGATTTTTTTTATTTTAGATTTTAAATATTTTGAGGATGCCTCAGATGAATATAGAGACCAGCAAGGAACCCTCCTCCCACTCTGGAAGTTCCAGTATGACAAAACCAAGAGACTTGCAGTTACTGCCATCTCCTGGTAAGTCTCTTTATTACAAACTTGCTCTCAGCTGTTCGCAGGGGAGTGGAATAGAATGTCATTTTCCAGCCAGTAAATCAGCCTCATCAGGGGCCCAACTTCAGTGCCTCTATGCAAACGCACATAGCATGGGAAATAAACGAGAGGAGTTAGAAATGTGCGCATGCCTGCAGGGCTATGATCTTATTGGCATCATGGAGACCTGGTGGGATGACTCCTAGGACTGGAGTGTTGGAATGGAAGAATAATGGCTCTTTAGGAAGGACAGAGAGGGTAAACAAAGAGGGGGTGTCACCCTCTATGTCAGTGACCAGCTAGAGTGCATGGAGCTCTGCCTTGGGATGGATGAAGAGCCAACCAAGAGCTTGTGGGTCAGTGTCAAAGGGAGGGCAGGGACAAGTGACATGATAGTGGAGGTCTCCTACAGGCCACCTGACCAGAAAGACCAGATGAGGCCCTCTATAGACAGATAGGAGCAGCCTCATGTTCACAAGCCCTGGTCCTCATGGGAGACTTCAACCACCGTGATATCTGTTGGAGGGACAACACAGCAGGGCATAAGCAAGCCAGGAGGTTCCTGGAATGTGCTGATGATAAATTCCTTCTCAAAGTGATAGAAAAGCCAATGAGGAGAGGTGCTATGCTGAACCTTGTTCTCACCAGCAAAGAAGGGCTGGTGGGGAATGTGGGCAGCCTGGGCCGCAGTGACTGTGAAATGGTGGAGTTCAAGATCCTTAGGGCAGTGAGGAGGGCCCAGCTCCCTGGACTTCAGGAGAGCAGACTTTGGCCTCTTCAGGGATCTGCTTGGTGGCGTCCCGTGGGATAAAGCCCTGGAGGAAAGAAGGGCTCAGGAAAGCTGGTTAATATTCAAGGATCACCTCCTTCAAGCTCAGGAGTGATGCATCCCAACAAAGAGGAAGTCAGGCAAGAACACCAGGAGGCCTGCAAGGATGAACAAGGAACTGCTGGACAAACTCAAACACAAAAATGTAGTCTACAGAGGGTGGAGGCAAGGACAGGAAGCCTGGGAGGAATACAGAGAAATTGTCTGAGCAGCCAGGGATCAGGTTAGGAAAGCTGAAGCCCTGACAGAATTAAGTCTGGCCAGGGATGTCAAGGGCAACAAGGAAAGCTTCTCTAGGTATGTCAGTGATAAAAGGAAGACTAGGGAAAACATGAGTTCTCTCTGGAAGGAAACGGGAGACCTGGTTCCCTAGGATCTGGAGAAGGCTGAGGTACTCGGTGACTTTTTTGCCTCAGTCTTCACTGATGAGGGCCCAAGCCACACTGTCCAAGTCACAGCAGGCAAAGGCAGGGACTGGGTGAATTAAAAACTGCCCACTGTATGAGAAGAGGAGGTTGGAGACCATCTAAGGAACCCAAAGGTGCACAAGTCTGTCAGACCCTGTGAGATGCATCTGTAGGTCCTGAGGGAACTGACGGATGAAGTTGCTAAGCTACTGTCCATGATATTTGAGAAGTTGTGGCAGTCTGGTGAAAGTTCCCACTGACTGGAAGAGGGGAAAGGTAACCCCATTTTTATAAAGGGAAAAAAGGAAGAACAACCTGGGGAACTACAGGCCGGTCAGTCTCCCCTCTGTGCCTGGCAAGATAATGGAGCAGATCCTCCTGGAACCTATGCCAAGGCACGTGGAAAATCGGGAGGTGACTGGTGACAGCCAACAAGCAGTCTGGTGAAAGTTCCCACTGACTGGAAGAGGGGAAAGGTAACCCCATTTTTATAAAGGGAAAAAAGGAAGAACAACCTGGGGAACTACAGGCCGGTCAGTCTCCCCTCTGTGCCTGGCAAGATAATGGAGCAGATCCTCCTGGAACCTATGCCAAGGCACGTGGAAAATCGGGAGGTGACTGGTGACAGCCAACAAGGCTTCACTAAGGGCAAATCATGCCTGACAAATTTGGTGGCCGTCTACGTCGGGGTTACCGCATTGGTGGATAAGGGAAGAACAACTGACATCATCTACCTGGAGTTGTGCGAGGCCTTTGACACTGTCCCGCGTGACATCCTTGTCTCTAAATAG